TGGGTTTTGTTTTTTTAATTTTCCCCAGTTGATTTCAGTTTAACCTCAAGTAACAGGTCATTAACTACCCTTGATTTAGGATGACTGTCTCTCCCAGCAAAACCAAACTGGTAATCTTGGCTAGATGTAAGTTAATTTCATGAGCCACTCACTCACCAAGTAATCCCATTTTCCAAACCCCCTCCCCACCTCATCCCAGCCTAAAACCAAGAGATCACCCAGCCCCATGCATTTTAAGGCTGTATGTTTTGTAGGCCAAACTGCTTCCCACCATCTTCTTACAGATCAGAATGAAGGCCCTTTACCTTGTATTTGAAATCAGGAATAAAATCACAGCAACCCATCCAACAATTAAAATTGTCACAGGACCAATCACTCCACTGATTTTCCAAATTAAATCACAGGCTTAACTCACTCTGGAGTTCTTTCTGGAGCATTGTACAAACACTCTCAAATCCAAGAAGTGACACTCCCCAAGGGAAAAAAAATTATTAAGTGACAAAACCAGATTGAGAGGCAGCACCTGAGAGCATCTTTTTCCATTTAGATCTTAAATGCCCTCTCTTCTCACTCCTAAAACCTATCTGCCTGTCACTCCCTCCACCAATTCAGATGTCCCAAGTCAGATCCCAAAGGCTCCACCTTGCCAATAAGTTAATAACTTCACAGCGCAGTTAAAAACCAGAACAGGGTAGGGTGTGTGGGCCAGAGGAAGACAAGGACTGTGGCTCATTGCGTACCTTTGCGAATAACTGTCTGATCATGCAGAAGTAGGTGCTGGTCGTCCACATTCTGAGGGAGAAATGAGAAAGTTTCCTTAAGTTCGGGGAGAGCCTGGCGGGGGGACCGGGGCCCGAGATAGGCGTGGGGTGGGTAAGAGGAGAGACGCAGTGGGGCGCACAGATCCGGGCCGGAGCGGGCAGAGCCGAGGCGCTCACCTGCACCTCCTCCATCGGGTGTGCCATGTCGTGGAGCCCCAGGTTCTCGGCCAGGCCCGCGGCGTCCAGGGCGTGCGAGTGGGGCAATAGCAGGTCCGAGCGTCGGTAGGCCTCCCTGCGTGCGCTCACGGCACCGCCGTCCAGTCCGGAGAGATGGGGCAACAGGCCGGCCGGGCGCCCGTGGTGCGAGGGCAGGCCGGCCCCCTCCTGGCTCTGGCGGCCCGGCCAGGCCTGCTGCTGGCTGCCGGTGGGCGCGGGCTGGTGCAAGGGATTGATGGCAGCGGCGTACGCCTCTCCAAGGTGCGAGTAGGGGTCGGCCGACTGAGAGTAAGCCAGCTGCTGGTAGGGAGGCGGAAAGTAGGGGGGCGGCTGGTATTCGGCAACTCCGGTATGGGAGAGGGGCGGCGCGGGGCTGTAGAGATGCTGCCCGGCGGAGGAGAGGTGAGGCAGGCGCGGGTTCCCATTGCTGCTCGCGTCGTGGCGATCCTGGGGCAGAGAAACCGAGACCCGGTTAGGACGAAACCCCGCTCCTGCGAACTGAGTGCGGCCGCCGCGCGGGCCCTCTTGCGCCCAGGGACCCACTGCTCCCGCCCAGCTCGACCCCGCGGGGCCCTGCCCTCGAGCCAAAAGGCCCCTGGGAGAGCAACGTGCCCCGGGGGAGCTTCGTTGTCAACCGCGAGTCTGCAGAAGAAAAACTGGAGAAAAGACCTGGGGGAAGGTGCCCCCGGGGCCCGGCGGCGAAGGTCTGGGCGCTCTGTCGCCAGAGGCAATCGGGGGCGCCCAGTCCTCATCCCGGGTCGTGAGGCGGGAGAAGCTGAGGCAGGGATCCTGGGAGAAGGTCTGCACGCTGCGCAGAGCGCGATCGCCCACAAGTCCGCACATGCCAGCGTTGTCCGCCAAAAAGTGGGGAAGAGGCGCGCGCGGATAATGCGCGCCGCTCAGGAAATGCGCTTTTTCCCCGCCCCAGGGACCCTCCCTTCCACGCCCTCAGGACAAAGACCTCCGGGCGAGACCCTCCCTTAGCCGGGCCGGCCGCCCAGCGCCGCCCCAGGGATTCGGGGTGGAACCCGCTGGAGCCAGGCGTGCGCTCCCGGGCTTCCGATGCGGGACCACGGAGGAGTGAGACCATCCTGCCGGACCAGCGTCAGTTTCCGCATCAATCGGGCACACAAGGAGGAGGAAGGACCCCGAAAATTGGGCAGCCTTGCCTGTGCACGTTCCCTGGCCCCAGGGCTGTCCGACTTAATTCTGAAAGGACGTGTCGCCATGTGTCCCCGGGTCACAGGGGTAGCGGGAGCGGGGGCTGGGGGACCCGGACAGACAGGACGCCGTCGCCCCCTAGCGGAGGTGTCCGGGCCTGCAAACTGGAGCAGCCCCTTGAGGTGCCCCAGACGCACGGCTCTCGCGCGTCCCCGCAGCCACCGCTCGCCTTTCTCCCGGGGCCCAGGCGCACACCTCGCGCTGCCTGCGTCTTCTTCCTCTTCCCGCTCTCCGCCTCCCTCCCTCCCACTCTCCGAAACTCTAGCTCAACCTGTCCGACAGGATGGAGCACTCCCGAGCGTTTACGGCCCCATCTGGCCTCAGCGCGGCCCCCCCCCACTCCCCAGCCCCCACTTTTCTCGAAAGCCAAACTTCTGCTGTTTGCTTGTCTCCCCGAGGGGGTAGCGGAGCAGGTGACAAGCCCGCCTCGGAGGAGACTCCGCAAAGGTGTCGCCGGCAGGTCGTCTCGTCTAACGCCTTTGGACGGAGGTTTCGTGCGTAAAAGCCACCTCTAACAGTTGTAGACCCGGCGCTCTTCCGAGAAAACGGGAAGAAGGGCTGTTTTGCTTCGCGTGAAACCGGCCGGTAAGCTTTGTGGGTAGGATCTGCCACTCTCTTTCCAGGCCCTTTCCCGAGGCTGGATATTTATGGAAAGGCCCGATTCGGGGAGGGGAACCCGAAGAAACGCACTATAGGGGGCGTCCGGAGAAGTGGACTCTGTCCCATTGAAGGGCAAGCGGTGGGTGCCTGTTCGCTGCTCCTGCGCCCTCGCCCCCGACCTCGGTCCAGTGGCCCCCGCCTCCCGGACTGTACTCGGGTGGGGCCGGGCTGCGCCCCTGTGCCCAGCTCACCTCGCAGTCCTCTTCATACTTGACATTATCGGTTATTTTCCACAACATGGCGTCCGGCGTCCCCCAAAACAATCGCCAGTTAAATCCAGGTTCCCCCCACCCCCCGAGCGGTAAATCCAAAATTGGGGTCAGGGTGGCCAGGCGTCTGCCGCCGCCCCCGCCGCGCGGGCCTAGCTGTCCGAGTCACTGGGCGCACATCGGCGGCTCCGCGATTGTAGATGCTGCCGCCGCGGGTGTGAAGACCGCTGCAGGGGACCTGGAAAGCCGCGCCCGCACTGTGTCCCGGCGATAGCCGGGGGATCGGGGAGCCTTAATGAGAAGGAAATTATCATAACTCCTCCCCGGGGGCCGGCGCGAAGGCCCTGGCGCCGGGCGGGGCGGCCCCCAGCCAGTCCCAGCCTAGCTCCGCCCAGCACCCTGGCCGGGCGCCGCGCGGAGTCCCACGCTGCGGGGGGCTAGGAGCAGAGTCCAGTGGAAGGTACCTCGCTGACGGCCGCAAGCCTGAGGCCAGGGTCCCCCATCACGCCTGCCATCAGTCACCCTCACCACGCACACACCTGAAACTGGCAGAGCTGGGAACAGGGATCCGAATCCAAGAGGCCCCCCCCCCACACACACACACCCCCTTTCATCTAGGCCGCCGTTCCCCATCTTCCGAAAGACACCGTCACGGGCAGTTAGAGACCCCGATTTAGGGGACATCTCAAGACCTGAGGTCCCCTCATCTCCTAAAACGTCCTAACCACCCACTCCTGGGAGACAAGGTTTACAGTGGGGTCGTGCTGCCGGAGACCCAACCCCTCCGCGAGATGACCCCTCCCCCGCACGGCGTGGGAACAGTGCTCTTGGGTTCCTCCGAGGGGACGGTGTGGAAGGCCTTCTGGGGAGTCCGCCCCAAGCGCCACCGAGCGGGCGGGCCTCTACACCAGCCCCGAAGTCTAGGACAACTTTTTGCCGCCATCGCCCGAAGCTCCATCTCCACGGCTGGGCTGCGGCCGGGAGGGAGGTGGGGGCACCCGCGGGCCCTCGCCCCGCCTCGCCCTGCCCTGCCCTGCTCAGCGCCAGCTCGGCAGCTTCCTCCGACGGGCCGGGCGCTCGGAAGCCTCAGTTTAACAGGGAAACAAGGTGCGGGGCTGAATACAACCATAGTGTCATAGGCAGAGGAGAGGCAAGAGGTGGGGGCAGAAGGAGGGGCCGTAGAGGGACCCCCCGCTGGAGTGGTGAGTTCCCCTCCGTTTCGCAGATGCAGGCAGAAAACGAAACTTCCTTCCGCATAAACGCTGCCTCCCACCCCATTATGTATTTGCCACCCAGACTTGAAGGCAGAAAGCACTATTAAAATTTTTTAAAGAAACGAAATCCATTGGCCCAATAATTGTAACTGACTTTTTTTTTTTTTTGGCTACAAAGATAAAGTCTCTAATTCTTGAGGGGGAATTTTTTGGGACATCCTGACTGGATTTGGGAGCTGAATTTAAACATTCACAGGGAATCAGAGAAGGGGGCTCTTTCCATCTGATTCTGAATCCAATACTGCAGTTATCAATACCTGTTAGTTCAGGGCCCCAGTGGGCCTGGAGTGGACTTCTGTTCCCAGTCCATGGAATGAATGCACCCACCTTTTCCCTACTCCTGCTTGGGTTGGTTTGTGCTTTAGCATTTCTTAAAACCCAATTGGGCCTAAAGTAACCAAAATAAAAATAGGCGTCTTCCAAGCGAAAAGTTCTCCCTGGCCTTTAGTAGGCAGACTCAGATGATTTGCTGACCAAGTGGGAGGACAAAACCTGGAGGTGAAACCACTGGGGGCTTTTCGGTTTGCCTCCGGGCTTTGCACTAGGAAGTACAGACAGAGGCAATGCACACAAGGACCCCTGACAGCTCGCTTTCAAATACCGGGGCCTGGGGGCTAAAGGGGAAAAAACCTCAGAAGCAGCGCTCCTGGGATTCGAGAATGGGGGCGGATTCGGACCCGGCGCGACAGGCCTGCTGGCGCCCTGGGCGTGGAAGATTGGGGTCCCAGGCACTTTCGAGGGAGGCTGCGGCGCCTCCAGACGCCCCAGATTCCCAGACCATTGACGCACCTGGTCTCCTCCACGCTGGGCCTTCCATCCCCGGCTTTGACTCCAAGACCCGGCCTGGGCTGCAGCTTGAACAACTTGTCTCATCCACGCCGGCAACTGCGCCGCCGCGCAGGTTGGGCGCCAGGACCAGGCACCAAGGTGCCAACCCCGACCCCAAGACCTGACAGCCCTTTCCACGACAGCGCTCGCCGAAGGCAGCCGGAGGGACGGAAATTCCTCGCAGCCCTGGAGAGTCTACGGCGGAGGCAAAAGGAGCCAGTGGGCCCTGAAGGGAGCCTCGGAGGCAGTGAGGTTTCCGAATGGCTCGGCAAAGGCCATTCATTCATTCCCAAGTCAGCGCCCTGGGCCTGGACGCTGCCCCTCCCTCAAGGGACACGCGCTCATGACAGAGCGGGACTTTCGCGCGCGGGACGGGGAAGGCGAGTCAAACGAACCGCAGTCTTCCCCGCCAGGCGGACCCTGCCCAGACACGCACAACCTTCGGCTTCAGGGACGGAGTCCAGGAAAGCGCGCGCCCTGGTCGGGATGTAGGAAACCCCAGCCCTCCCTGGAACTCAACTTTTCTGCTCTGAGCCTAGAAAAGTGAGCTGATGGCTCCCGCACTCAAGACAGGCCTCCCCGCAAGGCCCCCACCCGTCGCCGCGTGAAGACGCGTGACTGCGTGGCCGCGCCCTTGGGCAGCCACGGCCAGAGAATGATGCCCCCCACCGGACCCTCCGCGATTTCGCAGCCGCCTAACTCTAAACAAAATTTGGGGATCGTGGGGACCAGCCTCGCCGCACGCCTTATACCATCAGGATTTGGGGTTGGAGGGTGGTCAGCGGCTTCCCTCTGTCGCCACCTAGGGAGCCTGCACTCAACATACCCGCTTGAAGCCTGGACCCTAGCCCCCAGTCCGCTCGGTTGGCGCTGGAGACCGGAGGCGGCGAGGCGTATGCGAGGACAGTAGCGCTACGACAGTGCGCCACCTCCAAAGATGCGTCTGGAAACGAGGCTTCCAGCCCCAGGCGACGGGCCTCCGCCGCTCCCACCCCCACCCCCAGCTCAAGCCCGGGAAGGCGACCGGGCGGGTCGAGCGGGATTGGAGCGGGCCCACGACTCCTCTTTTCGCCCCAGGGAAGGGGCGCCCGAGCCGCAGGTGGAGGCCCGAAGCGCCCTTGTGGGCGCCGAGCACCCAACAAGGTGCGTGTCCCGCGCCGCGGAACAGCGTGGGCTCCAGCTGGGACCCCAGTGAGTGGCGGGACCCGGTGGAGCAGAGTGGAAAAGCCTGCAGCCACCCGGGAGGGCCCCCATTCATGCCCCATCCCACACTCTCTCTTCGCGGCAATGGCACCGATCGGAGGGACTTTTGGCGCCCAAGAGCATCCGAATTGTACAAGCCCACTCAGGCACACGCTGGGGGCGCCACATGCATCAATTCACAGTCACTTCAAAATAGCAATCAAATAAAAATAGCAATTGTTTTAGTGATGTTCAAAGTGGCGGCTACACACAGACAGCTTCTCGTCTTAGCTCAGGGTCCAATCCAACACTTTTCTGTTCCGTGCCAGGCCTGTCCTCGAAGGGGTTTCGCAGCCCTTAGTTTCTCCTCGCAAACACCCTCTCAAATCAACAAAAGCGTAGCGTCGAGCCGAAAGGGCCCGGAGGACGCCAGCTTAAGAGAGGCTCGCCGAGCGCAGAAGTCTTGGGGAGAGTTCCTAACTCGACAACCATCGCCCAGTTTCTCGGCAGGCGAATTTTTAATCGTTTAACTACCTCAAAACCACAAATTTGCCTACTGTTCAAAGTCGCTTATCCTAGCGGCTCTCCGGCACCTATCAGACACATGCTGGCTCTCGCCTCCCCTGCCCTGGGGGACCCCCGCCCTCAAAGGTGCCTGTTACCTCTCCACCCACTAACGTCCCCGGGCCCATCCAGGTGCAGCCTAACCGCTCGGGGGCGCAGGCAGGAGAGCTGAGGCGCGAACCCAGTGTCCCCGGAGGCTTTCTCGGCTCGGCGTCTTGAATACCAGGCACCTCCAGGCCAGCTAAGCCCGGCGGCCCTCGCCTATTTATCAGGTCGCCGCCAGGCGAGGAGGAGACCCACTGTGTCCAGGTGCCCGGCGGCGCGGATTCGGCTTCCCGGGCCTAGACTACGCAGAGCCCAGGGGCCACGGTGCAGAGCCCAGGGGCCACGGTGCACCCCCTACCGACGCCCATCCCACCCAGGGAACACCCCACCACCCCCCACCCCGCCCCTGGCAGCCTGCCCGTCCGCACCCCTCTCCCTGCCGACCCCTGGATCTGCCCTCCACCCAGCACCTCTCTTTTCACCTTTAGGTACTGGAGATTCATGTTTCCAGCTCTTCGACCCTCTGCGAGCTGAGGTTTTTTAAGAATGGGAGCTACGGCGGCAACAGGTCCCCAAGGGCCGCGTCGTGTGCCGTAAAGTGCTCGGAGCGTTTATTTAATTAACGGAAGGGGGATGGGGGCACAATTCACAGCCAGAACCGGCTATCGCGATTGGAAGACACACCTGAAGGCCCTGGTTACTCCTCCCCCGCCCTCCTCCCCTTGGAAACTGTAAAATCGCCAATTGAAAAGGGTCTTCCCAGCGTTTTGAATGATTTTTTCACTTGTTTCTAACAAGCGGTACCTAGGACTTCCTCCATCACAAAATTATTTTACTGTGTAGCCTACGTCTTGCAGGCAAGGGACATTTTAAAAGTATTTTGTCCCCAAAGCCAACTCTATTAGCATTTCCGTGAATTCTCCGGGGGGTCAGTTCTGACATTGACAAGAGGCGCCTCGCAGGTTTCCGGGTCCAGGTAAAATTGAATCAGGGGCAAAGAGTGCCCTGGAGGAGAATGAGGTGGGCGGGTTTGGGGTCTTCCTTAAGCGCCATCGAGGTTTGTTTACACCTTGGTTTTCACATGCTATTTGCCTTAAGGTAAGAGGCAAAGTACCTAGGTTACTTTTAAAAAGAGAAAACACACGCACACCTGATAGCCCAGTAAAATGCAGTCTTCTTAAGGAAGATTATAAACACAAAAATAAATGTCATTTTTTGACTGTACCATCCGTTTAAACATCAGGGGATCCACCGTGACAACCCAGGTCAGCAGCAGGAGAAACTAGCTTAGTAGAGCAGTTCCCCTTCAGCATCTGAGTCCTTGATGGTTTTCACAGAAATCTTCCCAGGCAACCAAACTGCTTCTTCTCCAGAGAGGTGAGTTTGAAAACTTACCCAAGATTCCTCTACATGTGCTTTAGAAGTGAGAGGAAAAAAGTAACAGGAAAACTTCAGGTTTCAACCCCACCCACTGGCAATCTCTCCCAGACATTCTGTCTTCAACAATCCTCAGAGGCACTGTTATTGAAAGACACCAAGAAATTTTTATAATAGAATCATCCATGTAGAGAAATGCACATTTTTGCATTTCTCCAAACAAAAAGTCATGGAAGCACAGCCACAACTTAGTGTCAAGGGGTTTAAATATTCACCTGGCCACCAATTTGGGCAAAAAATGGGCAGAATGTAAGACTACAGGGAAAATAGCTTAGGCGAAGGTGTAAGTAGGATTTTGATCATCAGTACTGTTCTGTTCTAAGATCAACACATGCTGTGCTTTTTGGTCACTTTTTATTCCCATTGGGAATAGTGAAAAGGTCATAGGCCACATTTGGGGGTATAGTTACACCCAGGAAATAGAATGGGACTTGTTGGGGGAAGATTATGAAGAGAAAGCTGACTTTTTTTTACTTCATTCTGTTTGGGGTTTTGTTCCTACCTGTGGGTAGGGGTGCAATTAATGTGTCTGGTATTAATTATTTTTTATTTTATTTATTTTTGCCTGCACTGCACAACTTGTGGGATCTTAGTTCCCCAACCAGGTATTGAACCTGGGTCCTCAGCAGTGACAATGCCAACTCCTGACCACTGGCCCACTGGGGAATTCCTGCCTTAATTTTTTTTTTTTTAATGAACATACTACGCACTGTTAACATCCTGGTTTCGTTTCAAAATTTAAACCAGAAAGGAAGATTATTGTCTCTGGTCTTCTCTTGTTATTGCTGCTATGATTACATCTTACTTTTATAACTTTTTTTTAAAAATGCAATTACTGTGAATGTCCAAATGTGTTTATTTGACCTCAGAAGCTGAAGCATCTTGTACTGTCACAGTACATAATTATGGAATATTGGCACCTGGAGACTGTGTCAACCACCCCCGGGTCTCTTTAAACAACTTCCACTGGTGGGGTCTGCAAGGAAGCTGGAGCAAGACCCCATTCGGCAGGAGCGCTCAGCAAAGAGGCAGCCACCCCTGTCCTTTCTCCTCTGCCCTCTCGTTTAAATCCTACAATCCAGGCTGCAGTCTCTCCAGTTTACCCCTGGCATCTCCCTCACGTGGCACACAAACGTTGGCTTTCCTGAACCTGGTGCCAAGCACTTGAGTTCTACATGTAAGAACTCATTTCACTGGGGCCGTCAGCCCGAAAACAACAACATTAAAAAAGCCAAAATGGCACCATGGCAACCCAAGGATCTAAAGGGGAACCTAGCCAGCAAAAATCCACGGCAGATTAAAATCAGAACCTAAAAGGAAGAAAAGATACTATTCTTTAAATCCACTCTATAATATAAAATAAATATCAGTTTCGAAGTCCTCTTTAATACCAGGGATGCCAACAAAAAATCTTAAAGATATATATATGTTTCTTTCTCACTTGAACAAAATCTGTAGCCTCCAAAACTAAGAACTGGAGAACTGGAGGGATTTCTCTGGTCGTCCAATGGTTAAGACTCCGTGCTCCCAATGCAGGAGACCTGGGTTCCATGCCTGGTCAGGAAACTAGATCCTCCATGCTGCAGCTAAGACCCAGCACAGCCAAATAAATAAATAAATATTAAAAAGCTAAGAACTGAAAATGTGGTGTACCATATCTTGACAATATATTGTCAAGGAAATGTATTTGGCATTTTCTTTTCATGAGAAGCTTAGATGGGCTCAAAGATTCGGAGCACTGACCTGCCCTAATTTATCCCATTTGGCAATAATGAATTTTCATTTTGCTGAAAAACATCCCGTGGCTGCATAAGCAGACCTGTTATAATGAAGTCCAGTTTCATTTATCTGTCCAGTGAAAAGCTATTTTTCATTAGGATCTCAGACATAGCATAAAACAGTGATTCCCAAAGTGAAGTCTGGGATCAGGATGATGAGTATCACCTAAGAACTTGAAGTTTGGGGGTCCCACCCCAAGACCCACTGAATCTGGAGTTCAGTGGCAGAGCCAGCAACCTCTGCCTGGACCCAGCCTTCAGCTGATTCTCTCTAGCTCCTTGAGACCCACTGGATGATTTGTAGGAAAACAAGTATGAAATTATTTATTCCCCATTCATATGTGAAACCCAGAAACTGTATATAATGAATCAACTGCACACGTTCCAAAACCATAGCTGCATCATTTAGGGGATCCTCCATCCATCTTTGTGGTGCAGGTCACCTAAACTCTGTGTTGAAAGCATGTGCTTTAATCTTATCATACATTGACCTTTTAAGCAACCAATTTACCCTGCTCAAAACCATTCATATAGACTCTGTTTTAAAGAAACAGTTTTTCATTCATGCATACAAAGTTATAAAAATTCTATCAGTTATATGGATTTGGGACTTAGGGGAAGAGGAGGCAAAGAAGTTTTGAACATGATTTAAAAAAAAAAAAATTTATTGTTGCTTCCTGTTATGTCCCCTCCCCCACCCAATGGATTAGATTATAAATATTATATTCAGGAAAATGCTGAGGCCCCATAAGACGTGATTACCTGAAACCAAGACTTCCCCAGCCCTATACTATCCAAACAAGCAAATCACCCCTTTCTCCTAGGGGCGGTTCATGTCTCACCATACGGAACACTAGAAAACAGGGGGTCCAAATGCCTTACATTTCCTATCGCGTTTAGGACAGGTGGACCTCTGGTGGTGCCTCGCACATCCTGGGATGCACCACACTCTGACCTGGTGAAGACCATAGGCTTTGGTCCCACTGTGTCTGCTCCAAATCCTGACTCTGCCTCAATTCGGAGTGCCTCAGTGTTTCCGTCTGCACAATGGAGATAGTAGTGCCTACCTCCTAGGAGTGAGGATGAAATGAGATCGCATAAGGAGAGGGTTTAAAATAACGCCTAGGAAATTCCCTGGCGGTCCAGTGGTTAGAACTCTGAGTTCTCACTGCCCAGGGCCGGGGCTCAATCCCTGGTCAGGGAACGAAGATCCCCAAGCCTGGCCAATGTTAACATTGTACAATATTGTTTACTAAAATCACGGCTGCATTCTCTTCATCCTTAGAGCACAGGCCGCTCTGTCCACAGCCGAACCTGCTCCCCAGGATGACCATTGGCTGACCCACAACCCCCTCACCCCCTCCCACTCTCAGCCACCTCCCTGCACCCCTTATTCACCCAAGTTCACCTCCTAGATGCACCTGCCAAGTTGGTAGCCCTCCTTTTAATCAGCAAGTGAGAGGCTCTTGGAGACATTCATTCCTCCAATGGATAGTTACACATAGTTACAATCATCTCTGCCCGGCTGTCGGCAGGTAAGGAACCCACCCTCCTGTAACCTCTAGTCTAGTGGGAGCTACACATCCATCCAACAATGTTTTGGGGCCCTCCTATGTGCCAAGTTCTACTGCAGTTCAGGGGATAACATTCACAAAACTGACAAAATCCCCAAACTTACAAAGTGTATGTTGGCAGGGGCTATAGCTTTAAATGAACTATTACAGAGGGCAGGGAGGGAGAAAAGGAAGGAGGGAATTAAAGAGGGAAGGGAGGCAGGGAGGGATTGCTAAGAGGAGAAATGTTAGAACAAAAGCCAGGGTTCCATACAGGCTGGGGAGGAACTGACTAGCCTGTGGGTCAGACAGATGGTGCTGAAGAGCCGACTTTGGTCCAGAGAATGGAAGGAGGCCCTCTGGACTCTTTGCTCCTATTAGCTTCAGGGTATTCAGCCCAGAGTAGATGTTTAGAGAAGAAATGCTGTTCCCCTCTTGGAGAAGCTCACCGGGTGACCACTTTCTTCTTTGACTGGGCAGGAAGCTTGCCAGGGCCTCTCCCATATCAGGGGACAGTGGCAATGAAGCCAAG